GGAAAAAATTTTTGCCGGAAAATTTTTTTAGGAAAGGGGGCCCCCCAAAATTGTCCGCTAACTACGACGAAAATTGACGAGTCGAGCTCATTTTAGATCATTTAACATTCAATTTTAATTCCCTCTTGGAAATTATCTATGTTTCGTTTTCCATGCAATTCCCAACGGTGGAAGAATGTGAATTCGACCGGCAAGTTTCATTTGACGAGTATGTGGCCATTTCTCATCGTTACGGCAATAAATAACAGCTCTTTCGTCCTACGTAAAAATTGAATTGTTTAGCTAAGTTTATGATGCACGACAGCCTGTTGAATTTCCATAGCGTTTTTTTAGACACCCTGTACAAGGGAAACGTCGACGTTTCGAGCGAAGGCCCTTGTTTGTCTACCAACTTCCCGACGAAGGATTTTGCTCCAAACGTGGAAGTTCTGCTTGTATTTACAGGGAGTTGTATCTCTCACCATCAGCGGTTATTTTCGTCTCCATCTACACTGGCAGTCTGGCACAGACCCTTCAAGTGTACACTATTCTACAGGGTGTCCCAAAAAATAGTACCCTCTAAAAAGGGATCGAAACGACTCTTCAATGAACAGCCAGGTGTTGAAAGTGAAACCTGTATTCATTGTTGAAGGTTTTGCAGTTTTATACATTTATTAAACCTAAATCCGGGCATGCGCTTCGGGTTAGAGCGCTGCACTGGAATCCCAAGGTCGCAGGTTCAATTCCTGCCAGAGGGCTCTGCTCCTGGTTAAGTGTAATAAATGTTTAAAATTCACACTCGAAATTTCCATCCTCAAAAACCCTTCAGCAATTAGTTCTATCGAATGAGATGCCCAAAATCCTGATATAAACTTGGATTTAGCCTTTACTAACCAACTGCCGAGCCATACGCAGGATTTTGCATCAGGAGGCAGTTATTCATCAGGAGGCAGTTATATCAGGCTGTAATAAGCACCCAAATGTCAATGCATTCAAAGCTATATCATGCTTATGGCCACCCCATACAAAATTATATATTCTGATTTACAAGTGCCATTTGGCTTTTTAATTTTATAATGTTATTATAAATTATTAAATTAAATTTTCCCTGGGAAGGGGGGGGGAGCAGTTGCCTTGCTCTCCCTCCTCCTCTCCTGCGTGCAGCCCTGACCGACTGACAATCTCTTTCCCCAAGGTACTGAAATTATCGTGTAACCCTTTGATCGATCAAAACGATTCTTTTGGATTAACAGTGTATATAGAATGTCTTACTTACATCCCATGTAGTTATGTATTGGATCCAAGCCTGGCTGATCAGGACAGGAATCTACTGGACCAGGTTTAGAACAGCCGTAGGTAATATCCTTTGATATTGGAGTGTCATCTACCATATCGCCATGTCCATCACATTTCTTTATTGGAGTCATGGAAATAAAAACAATCAGTAACAAAATAAGTAATAGAGTAATATTTGAACCAGGTCATCTGACAATAATTATGGCAATAATTACTTTTATATGCCCAGCGATACATAATAATAATAATAAAAATAGCATATATTTTAACACGATAGATATTTACAGCATAAGCTGTAAATATATATCGTAACTAACATACATTATTATTCAGCTCACTCCTCATTGCGGGTTGTCAGTGACCAATGGACCTATTCCCTAATGAACAAAATTTTGATCTAGACAAGTCTAGACAAAAATTTTATCACGGATTGAAAGAGCATCACAAAATTAGTAATATTCCGAAGTTTCGTTGTGAAATGTTGTAAAATGCGGATAATATAGCTCTGCGAAGTTTGCCGTTTTTCAGTCATTATTACGCACGGGAAATTGATACCCTTTTTCAGAAAGCGGTATCAATTTCCCGTATAATACAAAATGACTGAAAAACGCCAAACTTCGCAGGGCTATATTATCCGCATTTTACAACATTTCGCAACAAAACTTTGGAATATTACTAATTTTGTGATGCTCTTTCAAGCTGTGATGAAATGTTTGTCTAGACTTGTCTAGATCAAAATTTTGTTCATTTGGGAATAGGTCCATTACATCAAGTATTACGCTTACTTATAGCACCTATTTAGAGCATTTGTGATGTTACTTTTCTGTGACTTTGTTTATCATATCCCCCACCCTGTTAACTTTCCCTGTGGGAGGAAACCAGAGCACCCGGAGAAAACCCACTTAACTTTCGGCAGGGTGTTCACTGACCCTTTTCACTTAAGTCCACAGCGAGAATCGAACCTACGAACTCAGAGGTGAAAGGCATTGGTCTCTGACGACTATGGCGCCGAAGCTCCATGGAATGCCAAGGTTTCTCTTTCTAGTAGCCGAGTGGGTAGCAACCGATCACCATTTACACATATGGCAAGTCTTATCCGCACAAGAGAGGCTGGATTTGTCACTAGTTCACAAGTGCGTAACTTGAATGTAAATTTTTAGACAAGCTATCTTAATAAATCATCACTTATGTATAAATACCTGAGTTTCAAAGTAATGTAGCAAACCAAAATAATGACCAACCTAAATTTATTAATTTGACTTAATTTAACAGCATTAACATTTAACAGTACGTATACACATATACATATATTGGATCAAAATTAATTCACCTCACTTTATTAAGTAGTGATTTATTTGTACGAGATGTCATTTCAAATCCTCAAATCCTAGATTTCATGTCCTCGTATTTGATCCAGTCCTCGGCTTTCCCTTGGACTTGATCAAATTGCCTGGACTTGAAAGCTAGTTCAGTCTTCATACAAGTTGGATTTGAAATGTTACTTCCAATCTTTTGTGCTGCAAAGGCAGTAGATGTAATCATTACTAAATTTCCCCATCAGAGTTTCAAGTTTCTCTTTCTTTCTGAACTGTTTTTCTTTAGACACGTTGAGTTGCTCAAATTACATAACATACATAGTCAACAGTTTTCATCAAAACGTCAAATCGTTTTTGCTTAATGGTTTAATGGGTTTTACAACAGTTAGGAACACTGCATAAGATGAATTTCTTATACGCCATCATAAACCTAATGAGGTACGTGATCTGTCAGCTAGAGATAAATGATATCGAAAACGAGGGCTATATGCAATATATAACACAGCCCGAAGTTTGAGGTATTCATCTGACTCAATTTTTTAAAATTGAGGAGGTCTTCCAACAATGTTTTGCTGAGATTTCGTTCACCTTAGCAAAGATTTTGCTTTCCTTCGTTTCTTACTGTATCTATTCATATTCTGCGCGGTACATCAAATAAAACCGACTCAAATATAAAATAAATACATTTTTAGACCTTACTATTATCAGTGAGTATCGTTTGACAAAATGACGGTTCTTACTTCATGAACAAGATTTTTCCCATGATTTAATGGTGTTAGTTTCCCACCGGGCAATGTTTCCGGATGTATGACGACACCATTATAAACACTGTCGGGTTTGTAGGACCAAGGTAATGCAGCATTGCCCACAACGTAATCTTTATCAAGATCAAATGTACATGTATAGACATTCATCACTTTAGCAGGGGTTATAGCAAGAGCTTCCATATACGATGATTTTTCATCAACACACGCATTGTTCCAATCATTATTTGTAATTCGTTGAATGGAATGCTAGATAACGGAGAATATTTTGTATATAATTAATTAAGTATAAAATAACAGTAAATTGCCGTTTTAAGTTTAAAAAACAATTTTACAACTTAATATTTGGAAAATCTCAACATCTTAAGTTTCGTTATTTATTCCATTCCTGCCTTGAAAAGAGGTTGGAGCCATCGGATTGGCTTTAGGTACGAGATTGGATTCAGCGGACTTTTTTAACAATCTGATACATCTTAGATTTATGGATGATACTTGTGAACAGAAGCAACAAATGAGAGTTACTCAGTTTTCGGTTTGAAAAATTGATATTATACTGAAGAGAGATGGAAGGAGATCAATTG